GTAAAAGTTAACAGTTACAGGTTGTAAAAGTTAACAATTATAGGTCGTAGAAGTTAACAATTATAGGTTGTAAAAGTTAAAAATTACAGGTTGGAGACACAAATATAGAAAGTTGCGCATGCGTATTAGTCTGTTTCTAGTATTTGCTTCACTTCGCTTTAATTTACGGTAATTTGGTAGGGAAGTCGTGTTATTGTGTGCCTCTGTATACATGATATATATTGATTTACTTCTTGTAAATAGTAGTTCTGTCGCAGTGAAGACGTATTTAAATATGACAGTGTTTGATGACCAACATTTATTTCTAAACTGTTTCTATAAATTTGACGAATTGCTTCCGGTAATAATAGTTTTTAATGTATCGTTAGGTGGCGCTGTATGAATGACCTTATAGATGTCCCAGTAGTGTAATCACGTAAGGATAAATTCTTTAAGTTTTATAAGAAAAAATAATATTTCTTATGCACGAATAATGTGTTGGTATCAGTTATATTTTATAATTTACCCGTTTGTTGTACAATTTTGTGTAAATATACGGTTTTGTTGTACATTTTTGTGTAAATATACGGTTTTGTTGTACATTTTTGTGTAAATATACAGTTTTGTTTTACATTGTTGTGTAAATATACGGTTTTGTTTTACATTGTTGTGTAAATATACGGTTTTGTTTTACATTGTTGTGTAAATATACGGTTTTGTTGTACATTTTGTGTAAATATACGGTTTTGTTGTACATTTTTGTGTAAATATACGGTTTTGTTTCACATTTTTGTGTAAATATACGGGTTTGTTTCACATTTTTATGTAAATATACGGTTTGTTTTACATTTTTGTGTAAATATACGGTTTTGTTTCACATTTTTGTGTAAATATACGGTTTTGTTTCACATTTTTGTGTAAATATACGGGTTTGTTTCACATTTTTATGTAAATATACGGTTTTGTTTTACATTTTTGTGTAAATATACGGTTTTGTTTCACATTTTTGTGTAAATATACGGGTTTGTTGCACATTTTTATGTAAATATACGGTTTTTATTCGTATTATCATTAGATTGAGTTAGAAAAGCTGTAGATATCGAATTTAAATACAAAAATAAAGAAAAGAAGTTAACACTACATGGTACGTATGTTAGGGAGATTTATAAATAAGAAAAAAACAAACAATCGAAAATTCGGTTACCCAAAATACTGGTACTCTTGGGACGTTGAAGCTGGAATTAAAACCGTGAACTCAAATAGTGAACGAGAACTATACAGGTATGGTTCGAACAACAACTTTTAACAAGTTTCGCCAGAGAGAGAGAGAGAGCAGACTCGTTTATTCAAATCTTCCCTCAAGACGTTGTCGTTTTAAACAAATATATTATCACTCAGCCATTCTGTGAAATACTGTAAAATTTGTATAACTAGAGTTACACAGTTAACATTAATTAGAATTTTATGTGGACCACATTATTTGTACAGAATAGTGAGATTTGATTTTTGGGGGGGGGGGGTGGATTTTTTCTATAGTCCATTATAATAAGCCACAATAAATCCGCCTGATACTCCCTTTTTTTGGTTATATGTTTGTCGCCAGGGGCGTAGCTAGACAGACAGAAGTCTGAGCTACGCACGTGGGGTCCCGAGGACTTCTAAACCATTTTAAAATTTAAACCCGAAATGGCGCATTCTTATCATGGTCTTTGTGTATATAATCTATAAATAAATAACCAAACAGGCGACATAAGTTATTGTTGAAATATATCTTTTAAGCATTGACATTTTTTTTTTTAATTTTGCTGAGTGAAAACAATAAGAATTAGATGTTATGTCTAATAAAAATTCTATTGTGAATGTTTAAAGTCAGTGTACGGTCATACGTGCTTGGCTTAATTTATATCCTGAATGTTTAAAGTCAGTGTAGGGTCGTACGTGCTTGGCTTAATTTATATCATGAATGTTTAAAGTTAGTGCAGGGTCGTACGTGCTTGGCTTAATTTATATCCTGAATGTTTAAAGTCAGTGTACGGTCGTACGTGCTTGGCTTAATTTATATCGTGAATGTTTAAAGTTAGTGTAGGGTCGTACGTGCTTGGCTTAATTTCTATCCTGAATGTTTAATTCATAAATTCTTTTCCAAACATTGAGGGTAATATAGTATTCAGGAAGTAGTATTGTAATATGGTCTAGTATGGTGGGAGATTCTTTCTACTGTGGAGTTGTTGATGTTGGATAAACGTGATTGTGATAAAACCGAGTATCCAGAGTTCACATCCCATAACTGCAAAAAAACATCCCTTCCATCACTTTGATGTTATGGGTGCAGTATAAGAGTGATAGTTACATCCCACTGTTCGGTCAGGCAAGAGTTGGCGGAGGGTGGTGTTGATCAACTGCTTCGTGTTTATCAGTTCAAAATTATGGACAGATAGCACTAAATGTGTTGTTCTGTAATTTGTCACAAAGAGACTGTCTGTCAGAATATGGTTGGAAGAGTCGATGTTTTTATTTCACATACCCTTGATTTTTTCGCGGGATTTTAAGATTTTTAAATAAAGCAATAAAACTGGGCTTTTTGTTTAAAATAAGTTGCTTACTCTTGAAAAGAGTTTCGTTCTATATCGTTTTCTAACCCTTATATTTATTATCTGTGTGTCGAGCACTCCACGATTGTAAGACCGATTGTTATTAACTTCTCTGCTTTGACGTAGTGTAGTTAATTGTCTAGGTTGCACGTGATTGATTACGCGTGCTCTGTGTCATATGCTACGACGTGTCTTACTATATGAAAGAGAACTCCCCTCGTATGTGAACAATAAAATAATCCTAGTTTCAAAGGGCATTTTGTGTGTGTGTGTGTATGTATAAACACGACAACCCATTTTCCAACTGTTCCTCAGATTCCATGACACGTACCGACCTTTTTTTTTGCTATACCCGCCTTGGCGTATTTGCCATGACTACGCATATGTATAATAAATCCCAGGGAAATCCCCGAGTTGTGTATATGTTGTATAGGTCATGTGACTACCGTATACAACAAGGTTCGACTATGCCTTTAGTTATACAACACATTTCCTTCCCTGAGATTCCAGAAAAATCGAAGAACTGTAATTACTCCAAATAAGTTTCCAGTCAGTGTACTGTACAGTGTGCATTCCATGAACGTATGAGATGAATAAATTAAGGAGTAGGCCTAAAAAATTGCTGCTAACGTATTGCTAAGATACATGCTTATTTTAGTTAGAGGAGAAAAAAAAAGGCATATCCCAAAAGTCTGAAACGTATATGTTTGTAGGTATGTAGAGAGAGAGAGAAGAAAAAAAGAAATACGAACGCGTGAAAATTGTAGAAATGTTTACCCAGCCAGTTTCTGTTTAATTTATAGACTCGACTACGTCACACAGATCAACACATGTATACTTTTAAGTTTAGATACAAAGATTCTGCTTTCATGAATATTTACTTGAAAGGGGTCCGGTTTTTTGTAAACTTTGTATTATTATTCTGATAATTGTATGACAATAATATATATACGTGGAAAGGTTTACTTTTAAGGTTCTTGGTAAGGGTTAGTGTATCAGTAAAACAAACTATAACTTTTCTATGTGCACGATGGATATATCATTTATTTATTTGCTTGAAATTGACTTGCAGGTTTATATTGCGTAGATCTGCATGCCATGTTCAGTTTTCTGTTCGACTTAGCACTGCGAGAATACACGAGTGATTAATAACGTTTTTCTTCAAAATTGTGTGTGTGTGTGTGTGTTATTCTCGTAGATCTGTGTCGACTCGTGGCCACGCTTCTTATAACGAATTTAATTTCCTGTCTTTGCCCGACTACTGAACGGGTTGTCTCGTCTTGGACCGCTGGGTGGCGGTAGTATCGGGAAGAAGAGGCCGAGAAGGAAAGCCGTGTCGACAATTTACGAGTGTTGCTCAGGTGTGATCGGGGAAGTAGCTACAAGCTGGCCAGGTAGGCATTGGAAGGCTAACGGGGGAAGCAGAAGGAAGGGAATGGCTGGACCGGGAGGAACAGGTAAATTTTTGCTAACCTTTCTTTTAATATCTGCTGGATTCGGGTGTTGCGGGCGCAGCGTGCTCCTTGTCTAACATTTACTTGCGCTGCAAACGACAGTACATTGTCCGAGTGGCAGTTGTTAGAGGCGAAATGGCAGCGTTTGTCAGTGCTGCATAGGTACCTTTTATATTCTTACTGGGCATTATTTGATAATCATTTACAATGAATGGTAACCCCTAATTGGCCAAACGAAATGTAAAAGCAACATTTATTGGCAATCTTCAGATTTATTCCGTTGAAAGTCTCTCTTGTTTAATATTCAAAGTTTAAGATACCTATTGCCATGAAGTTTAAGTCATTAAAGAAAAAATACTACTTAAAATATATCATTTTTATATTTAATAACCTGTTACTGTTTATCTTATCGGCACAAGGAAAATAGAGGTGAAACCAACTTTTGAAACACAGCGTCTTTCTAGACAACACATTCACAACAACAAAAATTACAGTTTACTCTGATATTTCTCTCTCTCTCTTTTTTTATCGTGAGATAGAGAACTTAAAAGTTAAATGTTGGTAGGGGAAGCTATCAATGGTAATCCTTTCAGCTATCTTAAAGGCCCCATTGTTAGCAGGAACTGATTAGCTTGTGTTTGTGATTAATAAGTTTGAGTTACCGATGAGAAACTTCGCATTACTTAGTAAAACTAACTAGTGAGTTAAGCCTACCGTTTTAATGTTCTATTCCACCTGTTCTATTCTCTCGTATGGCCTCAGCATTGTGCGTCAGTTATTTGCATTTTGGACCAACTCGCGGAACGCCGAAAGTATCTTAGGACCACACTTTGAGAACCACTGGTATACAGTAGTGTCGAAGTAGGTGTGTAAGACAAATATGATGATATGTTCATATCAGACCTTTAAGAAGAAAATACACAAGCAATTATTATTATTTTTTTTAGAGTTGAAATTCTACTATTGTTTTTCTATCCATAGTGTTGACAATCTGTAGAAAAAGGTTAAACTAAAGAGTGTGGGGTGTCAGTAGGGTAAATTATATGGAATCCTAGTTGTTTTAGTCACCGAAATTGTCATGCAACCCGAGTTGGTAAAGCAGGATATAAGCCTTAGCGTGTAGATATTTTCAGGTTTTAGGCTTAGCTTTGAATGGCCAATAGAAAGTTAAGTCTAAATTCTGTTAATTCTCCAAGTTATCTCTACATAATAATCTAAATTAAACTAAAGAGTGTGGGGTGTCAGTAGGGTAAATTATATGGAATCCTAGTTGTTTTAGTCACTGAAATTGTCATGCAACCCGAGTTGTTAAAGCAGGATATCTATCGCCTTAGCGAGCAGATATTTTCAGGTTTTAGGCTTAGCTTTGAATGGCCAATAGAAAGTTAAGTCTAAATTCTGTTAATTCTCCAAGTTATCTCTACATAATAATCCAATTAAACTAAAGAGTGTGGGGTGTCAGTAGGGTAAATTATATGGAATCCTAGTTGTTTTAGTCACTGAAATTGTCATGCAACCCGAGTTGGTAAAGCCTTAGCGAGCAGATATTTTCAGGTTTTAGGCTTGGCTTTGAATAGCCAATATAAAGTAAATCTAAATTCTGTTAATTCTCCAAGTTATCGCTACATAATAATCCAAGTTAAACTAAAGAGTGTGGGGTTTCAGTAGGGTAAATTATATGGAATCCTAGTCACCGAAATTGTCATGCAACCCGAGTTGGTAAAGCCTTAGCGAGCAGATATTTTCAGGTTTTAGGCTTAGCTTTGAATGGCCAATATAAAGTTAAGTCTAAATTCTGTTAATTCTCCAAGTTATCTGTACATAATAATCCAAGTGAATGCATGGAATATGACAATATTAGTGCTTACAAAACCGGAAAGTTAAAGAAAATACGTCAGATTCTTTCCTAGTGAGACAAGGGCATAACAATACATAACACTGAACTGAAAGGCTAGTTAGAACGAAGCTAGTCAACAGCACCCACCGCCAACTATTGGGCTGCTCTTATCGGTGGATTTGATCGTTATACTTACAGCGTATCCACGATCCCAAGATGCGGAGGTCATTTTTGCATCAACTGGTCGCGAATCACGAATCCATTAACGCACGGCCAGCTGAGCAACATGGAAAACATTCCGTTGGAAACTATTTCCATCAATCGTCGACTGTTGAGCTGGTAATGTCTGTAGTTATCTGCTGGAAATAATACGTGTTTTATCAAATTAAACGTTTTTCATCGGGTTTCTTGTAGTCAAGCGTGCTCTATTTTGATATCACGGAATAATCCAAAGAGTTTTGAAGTTACAATAATGACGAAATAGCGAGATAGAATTTACAATGTTAGCGCTAGAAATTTAAATTAAGGGGGAAATTCCCCCTTGTAAAAAATTAAGGGGGAATTTGATAGTAAAAAGGGGGGAAAAGGATGGATAAAGAATTGGTGACCATCTGCCTAAAAATAATAAAATGTGACCTATAATATTCCATTTATAGGTCACATCAAAATGAACATAAAGGTAGGTGTAAAATCCATCTTCTGTTTTCTTTAAAAGTAACAGATAACTTCAACTTTTGCCCAATTTATGCATGTAATCATATCTTTGAATTAGAAAATAATCCGAACAATCAAACTTATCATTATGTTAATACTTCACGGTAATAAAAACAAGGTAAAACTGACTCTTCACCTGAAGAAACCCACTCCAAAGAAAGCTAACTTGACTCTTACATGACATTTTCAAACTTTGTCACAGTCTCATTTTCTTTTATATACTTTTCCACTTGTTAAATGCTTTCTCATAGATACAGATGTGTCAGTGCACTCGTCAATGATGACATTCACAAAATCACTCCCGAGAAGCTTCTCCTTCAATAACGCAGCATATCACCTGCCGTATCTCTTCTTGATAGGCATGGAGAGTGTATTCACAAAATCACTCCCGAGAAGCTACTCCTTCAATAACGCAGCATATCACCTGCCGTATCTCTTCTTGATAGGTATGGAGAGTGTATTCACAAAATCACTTCCGAGAAGCTTCTCCTTCAATAACGCAGCATATCACCTGCTGTATCTCTTCTTGATAGGTATGGAGAGTGTATTCACAAAATCACTCCCGAGAAGCTACTCCTTCAATAACGCAGCATATCACCTGCCGTATCTCTTCTTGATAGGCATGGAGAGTGTAAGTCCCATCATTGAAACCAGCAGCTTCTGGAGTTCTGAAACTGGATGAAGAAAAGTTAAAATATAAAACGTTCTGGTCTAATTAGTCATCTTTAGTCTTGAGCTTACCTGTCTTATTTCATATATATAACTTTTTTTCTCTCTCTACAACTAGACCAGTGGTATCAACACAAAATTATTGCTAGGGGGAGGCACTGGGGTGAGCTGTGTCTCACATGGGTACTTCAGATTGAAATTAATATAGCGTAAAAATGTTTTAATTTTTCAGGGGGAGGGAAAGTGGAGTAAGGGTGTTCTCATGGGATGGGGGGGGGGGATGCCCTATTCTCCCCATAGTGGCGCCACCAGTGTACTAGAGTAACATGTATTTGTCACCCACGAACTTTGGATGAATTTTATACTGGAATTTTAGAAGTAGAGGTGTAAGATAGATATTTTGTGACTGCATTATTACTGTAAGCAAATCCCCTAACATTAGACTAGCCTATATACTTTCTAAACAAAAAAGTTTATTAGACGAGGCCTAGGTCTTCTAATTTTAGTAATAATACTAATAGGTGAATGGCCTACTTACTCTTAAAACTTTCATCAAAATTCTCTTAAGGTGGTTAGCATTGTTAAACTCCGCCATGAAATATGTGTTTTTAAGGCAGAAAGTATCCCATCGATAGCTTCTCAAGGGGTTTAACTTTTTTGGATTGAACAACAGTCAGCGTTTAAGCATGTCTTTGTAATGAACTGGTTTTGAAAGCTTTACATCATTTTCCAACGAAACGTTTAACTTCCATACTTAGGTTTAACATCAGGCGAAACGCTACTTGTGCTACTGCTGGCGAAATTGTTGTGGTCAGTCTCAAAGTGTGGCTGTGTTTAAAAGCCCTTTTTCTGTTTGTCTTCTGTTGAAGTAGGAATACAAGTTTACGCTATCATGGCTGCAAGAAACGAGTTTGGTATAGTCAGCTAACCGATTGTACTGCCGAGCGGTGGAACATACAGGTGCAGTATTTCATTCATAAATATATGTCTGTTTTGAAAATCGCTGTTTAATTGGTTGGATTTGGAAGCATACATCGAAACTTTATCAAGTGCACCTATCAGAATTGTCGTTATTTTTTCGACTTTCAATTAAAACATTTTCCTCTATAAGCTAATATGCGATTGGATAGTGTTTATCAAATACCAAAGTAACAATGTTGTGATTTTGTTTTGCGGTAATTTCCTTCTTGAAGAAAAACTTTTTGTGAGATTTTAGAAGAATGTGAGGGAATCCCGCATCCAAATGAAAGATTTCTCAAAGTTAGGCCTTTGACAGTGTAACAGAAAGTGTACGATTTTTACCGTTAGATTGGACAGCCTTCAAACGATACCTTATCAAAGTAAAACTGTCTTAATTATACAATGAATTATCAAGTTTGATTAGTTTGTTGAACATAAGTGATAAAAGTAGGTAAATATTTGTTTGTTTGAAATCGAAAACATAATTTTTATAAAAAACTTGGTCGAGTTTTAAGTTGACCAGAAATGCTTTTATTCCAAACTATAGACCGTTGTGGTACGAACATAATGTAAAATAAATCAAGTATATATATATATATATATATATATACATACGTATGTGTGGTTCAGTTAATTATGGATTCAAGGAAGGTACACGAAGTGAAGAAAAGAGAGTGAAGTCCGAATCTCTTAACGGCATTAGAGATCCTGAACGGCTGAATACTTTTGCCAAATCTATTAGAGACGTTTTCAGAATCATCATGCCATTGGCAGATTCAACGAATAGAATAAGGGAGACCCTTGGGATTCAAACATTGCTGATTAGATCTGGGTAATTAAACTAATCCACTAATGTTGCGAAATTAATCAAATAATCGAAACAGTGTTTCCAATTATTCCAAAGTCAATTAATCGAAATTATTATTAAATAAAAACGTTTCACGAAAATAAACTACTCGAAATTAGGGTTTCCGATTACTTTCTGTTTTCAATTATTCCAAGTA